GCAATTCTTGGGGGGCGCAAAAATGAAAAGGGGGCGCCGTCCCGTGCGGAATTTTGAAAGTGGGTGGGAAAAACGCATTTGAAAAAATATAGTTACTTCCGTCAAGAAGTATATATTTATATAGGCTTATAAACAGATCGAGACTAAGAGCATAGACGACAAAGTGATATATTAAATTACAGACTATTTGGTCTAACCGTATTTGCTAATTTGCTACTTCATGGCTCACACAAAATCGTTCATATAGAAACATGATCAGTGATCACACACAATGTCTCATTACCGGAATATTGGTCAGGTTTCGAAGCGATCACGGGAATTATGCCCTTTTTTGCTGGTATTATGCCCTTATATTATGAAGGTATTATGCTTCACGAATCGCGAGAGCGGCGCAAATTAGATAGTTATGATAATGTAAGTTGTATACGCAATTTAGTTGTTTGTGCAAGAAACATCATGACTCATGAGTAATGTAAGTGATAAGATAATGCTGAAACGCGCCCTTTTGGCAGTCAAGCAAGGTAAACTTAAAGTGCATATGCGTGGGGTCCGTGTGTTATTGTATAAAAGAGCTGTATGTTGTAAAGGTATTCAGATCACCAGATCAGTAGAGATAGAATTGGGATTAGATTAATCGCTGGAACTGAGTTAGCATTGCCCAATTTAAGTACTACTACTACTAAATTCTAACCAAATTGCAAATTTCAACACGTTATAATGCCGTTTTCTGACCATCAGATTTCTGTCAAACCTTCCCCCCAAAGTCCAGGAAATGGCATTTCAGAGACCCTAAATTCAAAAATTTCCGAGGGGGCATGCCCCCGGACCCCCCTAGAGAAACCTCGCACCTGCGGCGCTCGACTCGTGCCTTCGAAACTCGTTTACCAAGCGTTACAATATAGGGGCGCATATTAGTTGAAAGCCCACTGCCCCCCCCCCCAGAAAATTAGTACCCAGCACGCCACTGAGTGTAATATATTAATAAAAAAATTCCAGAGTGCATTCCATGTAAAACTCTACGCCGAAGATACGGCAATATTAACTATAATAGATAGTAGAGTAAATATTTGCCGAACTGGCGAACTCGTGTATTATAGAATATGTGGGACATATATTTGCACAAATTTGGTATTTAAATATATAATATGTGGTATTTGACTACTTACCAGATGAGGATAAGATTGCATGTTGATAAATAACTTCGGAATAAAAAAAGACAGCCAATTCAACATAAATTGATAAAAGTATCAAGATATTTTTGAAAGAATAACACGATTTATACACGAGGCCTGACGAGGCTAAAGTATGCCCGTTCGCAGGTTAGATGCGGGCACGATGTAAAATTGATGTAAACGAATCGCTGATTGGCTTAAATTGGTTAAAATTATAGAAGCACGTCGCTGAATGGCTATATGCTAACATACGGTACGGTACGGTCGGTACGGTACGGTCACGGCACGTTTGCGATAGTATATATATCTGCTTCGCGGATACAAAAAGGTTGTCCTTTGCAAACCTTAAACTTTAAACCTTAACTCTAAGCGTGCAAAGCATAATGGGAGCATCATTTAATCAGTTTAAAAAACATATGTGGAGCCCATTTGTTAGAGACATCGTAAATATCTCCTTGCGAGAGTAATTCATTCACAAATGGCTGCAATACTCAACTACTAAGCTTGAAACTTGTGCTCCCATTTGCTAAGGACAACCTTTTTCTGTATGCCCAAATTTATAAAATTATAACAGAGTGGACTTTCGCCGACGCAAATTTTGGTTTTCGATGTTTGGCTTACAATATCTAAGGATGTTGAAGTTTACAGTATTGTGATTCTTTGGTTTTTGAAAGCATCTGGGGATTTTTGTCGGAAGTTCTGTGTTCCTCACATATCGATTTTTTCCTCGAGAAACGTCATATGTTCGATTGGGGGTAGGGCGGGGGGAAGGTTGGCAGCTGTGACGTTTCTCTGTAAACATCATGGAAAAATTCGATAGTTTTTATCTTTGCAGAAAGTAAAAAAGAAAACAATTTGATACAAACAGCAGTCTATATATTCGTAATACCATACCTCAGTTTATATATTTATATCAATAGGAAAGGCCTTCACAAATCTTGTTTATATTCGCCATTATAATACAGTAGAATACACAATCGAGTCTGTTCACATGCATTTCGTGAGCTAAAATATCTTGTTAGAAGCCAGAAGGCCTTCCT